CCCCCCAGGGCAGCAGAACGCAGCCTCCTGTGAGGGGTCTGGCCCCAGGGAGGCCCCAGAGCTGCGGCGCCTCAGAGAACTCCCTAAAGAGGCTGGGCCGGTCCTGCTGGAGAAGCGGGTCTAAGGGCTCCGCTCCTGGGGCAGCACTAGCTGCTGGTTTCCCTGTCCGAGGCCCTGGGTGACTCTCCCCTTCCCACCACAGCAGCCCCCTCGGGATGCCCGGATTTCATCCACACCAACATCGCCCACCTGGTGCTGGGCGCCATGGTCCTGCTCATCCTGGAGCTGATCCTGGCTGAGACCTATTACAGCTGCCCGAGGGGGGCACCCTAGGTGAGGTGACCCCCCCCCGTTTCTGTGCCCTTTGCTTCCTCCAGCGTCTGGGCCCAGGGTGACACGGGCCCCTCTAACCCACCATCTCTCTACACCCCTAGGAGCCTGGATCTGGCCGTATGGAGAAGAGCCGCTTTCCCGTGGGGGGCTGAGACGTCAGCACAAATCTCCTGCCCCCAAACGCCCCTGCCTCAGAGAATCCCACCCCCCACACTGCTCCTGACCCGACTGCTGCACCCCAGGATTGAACTCCGGACTTCTGGCACCAGCTAGAGGAGTGGCCCCAGCACTGGGCGTGTTGGGCTCCCCACAGAGCAGCCCTTGGAGGGTGTCGGGGTCCCACTCGCTGGCCCTGATGGGCCAGTCTCTCCCTAGGGCTGTCAGTGGGGAGTGGGGACGCTGCGTCTGACCCTGGCACTGGAATAACGGCACTTACTGCCCCCTGGTGTCTGTCCCCCTCCTCTCTCTGCAGCAGGGTCCCCCAGCCCCTTTTCTTCCCCCGTTTCTCTCTAGATCTCCCCTGCCCTGTATTTCTATTTTACAGACCCCCAGAGCTTCTTTCTCCCCTGCCCCCCAAATCTCCCCACCCCAGGAGGGGCTGTGATACCGGAGCCTCCAAATGTCCCCTCGTGGTGGGTTCAGCCGATGAAGGTGAGTGAGAAGTTCAGGCAGCGTCACGAGAACCTGGATGAATGAACATTGTGGGGAAAGTTGATGAGACATAAAGACGGGATTAGTCCAACCCGAGCGGCCGCCGGACAGAACTCACGGGCCAGGCTGGGGCCCACCTGGGACACGGGGTGAAGTGGGGGAGCAGAAATCAAACTTGGGGTGTTGGAAACAATGCCTCATTTGTGGACAAAATACTGCGGGGATGGGCTGTGCTGCCCACCACCCTTTGGGGCCTTAAAGAGACTCGCTTCACACTGCCCCCGTCTCCTGGCTCCCCTGGGCCGTCCAGACCCTGCTCCATGGAGACGTTCTGAGCAGAGCGGCCGGAGAAAGGGACCCCGATACCATCGCCCTTCCCCCGGTTGAACCCCCAACCTGGGAGGAAACTGAACTATTAGGGGGAATAGGTCTTTGAATATGCTAATCTCCCGCCTTCCTGAGAAGTTTCTTGGTATGCTTCAAACAAACTCTGACTCATGGCTGCTTTGACCCTGCAGCGTCATGTGATTAATTCACCTGGTACTGGACTCCATGATGGAATACCAGTATTTTTCCACTGACGTGGTGGGGGACCATACTGGGAAACAAAGCGTTCCCGCCATATGTTAAACCTATTTAACAGTGAGAGGTGAGATAATCAGTTGTGATAAATGAAGGGGTGGGGTAGCTCCCTTTTATGGGCACCTAGCTATAAAATCTCTCTTAGTAGCTGTTCACTAATTGCTCTACCTCTAAAGGGTTAAAAAGTCTCACTGCTCTGCATAGGTAAAAGGAAGTGAGTGGGCACCTGGCCAAAGGAGCCAATGGGAAGGCTAGAAATTTTTAAAATTGAAAAACGACTCCCCTTTTGTCTGTCTGTGGTTGTTCTCTGGGGAGAGGCAGACAGGGAGCAGTTATGCTGTAAGAACCTTGGGCCAGGCATGACAAATCATCAGAATCATACCTAGAAACTATTCATCTAAAACCCCAGATATGTAAGTAGATCAGGAAATGTCTAGGAAGACGCAATTAGGTTTATTCCTTTTATTTCGTTATGGCTTGTGGGTTCCTCTGCGCTAACCCCAGCTGCTTTTGTTTTGCTTGTAACCTTTAAGCTGGACCTCCAAAAAGCTATTCTGAGTGCTTAATCCTTGTCGCTGCTTTTTTAAAATCTAGCAATAGCCTGAGTTCCCAGATGTATTTTCTTTCTTTTTTTAATTAATAAAATTTACCTTTTTTAAGAACAGAATTGGATTGTTGTGTCCTAAGAGGTTTGCACACATCTTGTTTAATTAGCTGGTGGCCTTAGTTGATTTCCTTTGTTTTTCTTTCTCAGCTCTTCCCTGGAGGGGGGAAGGGGTTGAGGGTACTCCACAGGGAGGAATTCTGAAATGCGCCTTCCTGGGCTCTCAAAGGGGTTCTGCACTTGGGTGGTGGCAGCATCTACCCATCCAAGGTCAGAGAGAAGCTGTAACCTTGGGAGTTTAGTACCAGCCTGGGGTGGCCAGTGTTAATGTTTAGAATCCTTGTGGGCCCCACCTTCAGCACTCGAAGTGCCAGAGTGGGGAATTAGCCTTGACATCAGGGTTCATTCTTCACTGAATCCCCACCCAGGATGACTGCTGAGAACATGTAAGAAACAAAGACAAAGTGGGTGGGGGGGCGCAGAGAAGGACTGAGCCCAGGCTGGAAAAGGTTCCTGGCCTGTGACAGGAATACAGCTCCTGTCAGACGTTGGCAGGTTTGCAGGCTGAGCAGGAAGGCTGCAGAGTCAAACCCTCCAGAACCACAGTTTTCCGAACACCCTTAACTCTGCCCCCTTGTGCACATGCATTACGATGCCATCCTTTAATTTTGTGATCACTTACTAATTTTACCTTCATGGGTTGCCAGCCATATTTGAACCCAGAATGCCATAAAGCAGGGGCAGGGGAATCTGCAAGGAAATAGTGGTCAGTTGAAAATTGAAGATCAGACTCTGTAGCCTCCTGGCTTCCAGCCTGGTGCACCTTCCCCCAGGCTGCAGGGTACATTGAGAGTGACCTGTCCTCCCATCCCACAGAGACATAGACAAGCTGGGAGCTGCATGATGCTTGGCCAGGCTGAGGGGCCCAGGGTTTCCTGGGTTTTGCGGGGACCTCTGCTTACTTTGGCTCTTCTAGATTTCGCCTGCAGATTAGAGAAAAGATGTGATGGGCGCAGGAAGAGACGAGACATCATCGACTTCCTGTAGCTGGAGCCACCAGCTGAGTTCCTTATTTGGGGCTCAGTGGAGCTGGGCAGACGGGTGTTAGTGGCAGCGCTGAGAGGCCCCTTCCTGCCCCCGTCATGGCATCTGCTTTCACTGCTCTCATCATCCTCTTTCTTGGTTAGTATTGGATAAAGCCAGGGCATGTGCCCATGGGTTGGGGGGATCTGAGACCAGGGTGTAGGATCCAATTGCTCTAAGATCTGGTCCCTAATGTGCTGTCTCCTCTCCAGGCTGCTGGCTGGCCGGGCAGAGTGGGTTGTCGGAACGTGAGTATCTCTGGGGCTGGAGAAATTTTATTGTTAAGGGAGGGGGTGGGGAGGAGCTGACCCCAGAATGTTCCCATTAAAAATCAGTTCAACCTCCTTGTATTGACCCTGGAGGACTGAGACCAGAACTCCGCCCTGCACCTATTGCAGTTAGGGGTGACTCCGGATTGACCCCAGGGGGCTGAGATCAGAACCTGGCCCACAAGTTCCCTGTGGATGCAGTGAGGTGTCTGTTACCCCTTGCACTGTCCCTGGGGCTGGGCACTAAGGGCAGGTTACAGACACAGGGGGAGGGGTTTGTGTCTCCCCATCTCACTCCTGCTTGTGTGTGAACCCCCTGCGCCGGGACCCTCCATCTCCATCAGCCCCAGTGGGGTGATCGCCCCGGGGGGAGCCGTCACCATCCGCTGTCAGTGTCGGTGCGGGGCCAGGAGGTTATTTCTGTATAAAGGTGGAATTGAAATCCGGGAGCTGGATGCTGCTGGGCATGGGGGTGAATTCACCATCCCCAGCGCCATGCGGGAAGACGCAGGGTTCTACTGCTGCTGATCTCACTCCAGATCGGATCCGCCCAACTGGTCAGATCCCAGTGATTACGTGTGGATAGTTGTACCAGGTGAGGGGCCTGGCTCATGGGAATGGCCAGACTGGGTCAGACCAAAGGTCCCTCTAGCCCAGTATCTTGTCTTCCAACAGTGGCCAATGCCAGGAGCCCCAGAGGGAATGAACAGAACAGGTAATCAGCGAGTGATCTATCCCCTGTTGTCCTCCCAGCTTCTGTGCTCACTGTCCCTGCTCCCAGCCCCACACCCAGCCAGACCCACAGGGGGTCTCTGGGCCAATGGGACCCTCAGAGCCAGCTCTGACCTGAGCCTTGGGCCCAAGAGAGGGGTCATCCAGCCAGGGAGTGGGGATGGAGTCACTGGGGGGTTTCCCAGTCACTAGAGATTTGGGGTGGGGGACGGGAATCCCAGACCCCAGGGGACCTTGTGCTGTCACTTAACCTGCCTGTGCCACCATTTCCCCTTGTAAGAACTGGGGATAATCATCCTTTCTGCACCTCATGTCTGGTTAGATCCTCAGGGCTTGGCTTTAGGGTGGGGGTGGGGCTTTTTCTCACCATGTCAGTGTGTAAGTGGGGGAATGGTCCCGCTATTGTGGGGAACTTTCCTGGCTTATACACGCCCC